CAGGAATTTATTGCCCGAAATGGCAACTGTCACATTGTCATTCCAGTCAGACACAAAAGCACCTGCTGACACGCATGGGTAGGTAGCACAACTGTGGCTTAACCCGTTGCTAGAACCTGTTAACTACACATACAACAACTCCTTGAAAAAAAAAATGGAGGGAGGGAAGGAAGGAGGGAGACCATGCTCTCCCAAGTGCCAAGGACATCATGGACATCAACACTGAAGAACGCAAACATGTCCTCCTTCACTGTGGTCTCACAAAAAATAAAGTTATAAGGAGTAAAATGGAAGACTTGAGTAAGAAAGCTTGGCAAAGGAAGATATATTCTGATGGCAACAGATAGTGGGTGATCCACATCTGTAGACTATACATTGATAAGAAGCACAGTTTATTACATATTCAGCAGCTCCATAAACCAACAACGGCAAGATGATAACAGCTACCTTCTCCAAGCAACCTGCTTACGCTACCCAAAGCGAGCAGAGGTGCCCTTCTGTGGCGCAGGCAGCTGGTTCCTGCTCTGCCCCGCGTAGGAAGCCAGCGGCTCTCTGCGCAGCTGCAGCACACTGCGAAGGAACGCGTTCAGCCTTCCAAGCGCAGAAATTCAGATAAAAAGGGGCAAACACAGCTCCACTAATTTTTTCATGCACAGGTCCCTGACTTCTCATTTTTAAAGAAGAACGTGCTAAAGCATTCTTAACTGTTATTTTATATTTTTCCATATAAATATAGACTTGACATATTGGTCTAGTCTCTCTTTGCATCCTCAACTGTCAGTCCACCGAGCAGCTGAGATCCACGAGCTACCACCAGTCAGCCCACTGTTTCCATTTACACAGCTGTGCTACGCAAAGCTAAAGGCACAGCGAAAATTAACTTCCCAGGAAAAACTTCACTTACCAAGGCACAATTTCCCCAAAACATTCGGCTCAAAGTTAGTATCTCTGTGAATTACAAAACTGTATAATGTGGACCACAAATCAAACTCTACAGCCCAGTTAACCAAGTCTATACCAAAGACAGATTGCTGTCTTAACAGCAAAACAGCTACTATTTCAGAAGCTCAGGATTTACTCAGAAGGAGCAAGGAGCTACAGGAAGAGATACAGACTAAGGAATATTGCCAGCTTACCGGAGAATGGGGCAGGGAAAAGGAGAAGGAGATGTGAAAATTTTCCTTACCAGTTTGAAGTCTTGAATGCTGCAGATGAAATACGGAGTATTCGGCCGGCGACTTTCAATATATACGCAATCTTTAAAAAAACAAGATTTTAAAATAATGGAAATTAACTTCTGTACCTCCAAGAAAGAACACAAAAACAGGATAAAGTAAAAAACAGCTTAAGCTTAGAAAGAGCCACCATTTCATTTGCATAACATAATTTATTCTGAGTGTGATCTAAAAATAGAAACTAGATGCTTTATGATGATAAATAACAGAATTAACTGTGTAGAAATTAACTTCGATTGAATGCACATTTTGCTAGAAAAACAAAAGAAAGTCATATAAGACCACTCAGAATTCAGTTAATAAAAATGACCAGGTCACATCCTATGAACCAGACCAAAATAAGACAGGAAACTAATCAGATCTTCTGTGGTTAGCTTGCTGCTAAGAACCTAGCACTAACATATTTTCTCTTCTAATTGTGAGGAAAACCAAGGCAACCAACACAGATGAAACACAGCAAACTAAATTAGATTTACCTCGTGGAAGGACTGGGCTTTCTCAGATTACACTTGACATGACAGAAACAGAGTAATTATTTGTGCTTGCTTTTGACAACCCGACTCTACAAGGTTGCTTTAAAATAAGGTCTGTTGTATTTAAAATAGTCTTGGCAATACCCACAACACAAGCAGTGCCTCAGAATAAAATTACAGCAAGGATAGGAAAGAAGTGCCTGATGAATGATAACGACCTGAGGAATCAGGAAATTCACATACAGCTTGCTAGAAGGCAAAGATGCTACTCCCAAAGCCAAACAAATATTTAAAGGACAGTCACCGTACTCTCCTTTCATATTCAGACAGGTAACTGCTATTCAACAGACAGAAGACACAAAGAACTCCAGCTGTTCTGAGTGATTCTCCATGGACCTATCCATATTTCTACAGAAAAAAATCTAAAGTCTTAAAGTTTTACAAGACACGTTTAATTGAAAAGGAAGAAACTTAGCAGCTCTTTAGCAGGAATACCTCAGGACTATGCAAAGTGCAGAAGGAGTCTTAGTGCTACATCAGCCAGGCTGGGAAAAGGCCAGGCATTTCAAATCTATAGCCCTACAATGATACGTGCCAGAATTAGGTGGTTGTGCAGCTGATTTTCCACGTGGCAGCAGAGCAATATCCTGTTCTGATGAGAGAAAGAGGTGTACAGTACCCATCTTCATTGATTTCAGGTCACTGGTGTTTTGCCAGGATCAAAGTAACTCCGCTGGCAAACCAAGCTTTAAACGCAGGCAGCACCTTTCCCCAAACTCCGCACTCCTTGTTGCAGCCACGCAGGTCTGGACTCGCTGCTTTTGGCTACAAGCAGTCACAGTCAGCAATGCTAGATTATACCAGTAGTCCAGTGAAACATCATCATCTTCATTTTACAGGCAAGAAATCCTAGCCTGAAGTAGTCAGATGACAGGCTGAGACTTCAGAGTTGTGGTTTTGGGGTTGTTTTTTTTCTTTGATGAAGCAAGAAAATGAACTTTTGAGTGACAGTCCAACACTTCATGCCATAAGAACCCTTCCTACACTGGGACATGTCATAGCCACAGAATTTGTTCCCAGCTCACATCAGAACACACTCCTCTCCATCTCAGTGGTGAGATCAAGAGGAGAAAAAACTTGGAAATAGTTCTAGCTTTTCTACCAGTCATTTAGAATTAAAGTGCAAAATTATTCTTTTCTCTGTCTTCTTTTTCTGTATCTTCCCTTATCTTCCTCAATTCTGTTTTCAGCTCATCTCCACAGATTTTCAGGTAGGCCTTTACTTTGTCCCATGTCAGCAGTATATTAAGGCAATACAGTCAAGGTTTCTAAAAACAACTAGTCCCAGAAGAATTACACCTGAAAGCCAGTACACTGTGTTTCAGACACAACAGTGTTCGACCCCAGCATCCTCATTATAGGCACTATCCATCGAACTGACACTTTTGTGGTTTTTTAACTGCAAAACCCTGATGGCAGAGCAGTACCTCTTTCCCACAGTAAGCCATAAACCAATTTCTACATACTAGTCTCAAATTAAGCCAGCTGATCAGCATAGCTAAAATTCCACATTCAACAGAAGGAATTCAAAGGCAAAGGTATTTCTCAGTTATACTGGCCCATGATTTCGATCTAGGCAGGAAAAGATGCTGGTCTTTAGGTGGTTACAAACCAGGCTGAGGTCAGAGCATGTCAGTATCAAAGTCAGGCAGGTCACCGTGACTCCTGCAGAAGTCATCTTCTGAAGACACACTTCAAATGACAAGCAGAGCTCACCGTGGTCTACATCCCCAGAGAAGATGAAAGCTAACAAACAGCTAAAAGCCATCACTTCAACCGTCACCTAAATCTTGCTGTGCGAAGTCAAGGATCAGGGGCTTTTAAAACAGAACCAGGGAGACTGTCCTCTTCAGCATAAAATCCATTTCGCACAAACACCACCTAGTTGTGAATAGATTAGGCAATTCCTCGAACTAACTAAATCCCCGGAGCACAAGTTCACAGGACAGATCGCCTGCTCAGGAGCATCTCAACCAGCTGCAGGAAAGGAAGAACCAAGGGCCAAGTGACAGCACCAGCGCACTAAGGGCAGCCTGGAACATCGACTTTACCAGAGAGCACCCGCACCCTCTCCCACGCTTTCGCCCCGTAGCAGTGCCAGGAGTCACTTGCTGCTGGTTTATCACATAGCCCTAGTAACCCTTCAAAGCAAGGCCAGTAAATCCAAGTGTCAAATTTCTACTTGCAACACTATTTGGGAAACAGGTTTCTTTAACACACCATTCTCTATCCATCGCAACCGCACTGTTAATCACTTTGCAACAGTGTTTGATCAAAATCAAATGAGCTTGACAAGACAGATTTCTTTTTTCAGATGAAAATCTATTGCTTATTTTATAGTAAGAGTCAGAGACACAGGATAAGAATTCTGATGAATCTGAAATCATAATTTTTCCAGCATCAGTGAAGCTCCTCTCCAAGTACAGAGGAAGGTAATTACAGCAGAGTTGTGTCCACATCCCCACTAGAAGACACACAAATGAAACTACTCACAGCTTGAGTGTTCTGAACCAGAATTTAGCGTGCGAGTTCCAAACCAAGCAGTCATCCTGAATTTTTCTTAATATTAACTAGAAGTTAACACATTTTTTAACTTTTACAAATTTAACCGAAATCTTTGAGAATTTCTGTTACTGTAATAAGTGTTGATCACTCATTACAAAACCATCCACAAACGTAGCATTGAAATGAACTCCTGACTTCTCAGGCCACAGGTTCCAAAAGCCTTTTTTACACGAGAAGCAGCCACTACTGACCTTCCCGACACTTGCTGTCAGAGCTCTGTATGAGTCCTGGCCTCTTCTGAGAGCTTCTACACAGCTCTTTTTAGCACAAAAATGCCAGCAAATGTAAGAATTACACTTCAGTACAGCTGTCATTTCTTTACCAGGTGCCCACCTCATGTAAACTTAGCCCCAACTAAACTGAGCGATTATAACCAAGGTAAGAACAATAATGGAATCAACTAAAGAGTGAAACACTAGAAAATCAGCTGCTTAGACAATTTTTTGTGCTATAAGCATTAAATAAAGATTAAGAGCAAAGAATTTAAATTCTAAAGTAAACAGAAATAGCATGAAAAGAGTTCACTCGCAGACTGGATTTATTATGAATCCTTAACACCACTCTAGCATTAGAGCAGAAGAGGAGAGGCGGTCAGGAGTACAATTCTTCAAAAATGCTAATGCTAACTATTTGCTGAATATAGTGATTTGTCTTAACGATGATGGCATCACAGAAAGCTATTCTAAACAGCAAGGCTATATAGGCATCTATATCAGTAGCAGGAATTGGAAGTTTTCTGCTGCATACTTTCACTATCTACAACGTGATGAACCAAATGCCTTGCACCAGGAGTCTCCAAAGAAACAGAAGTTTCATAGATGTAAGATACACTACAATCTTCGGGGTTTTCTTTTTTCTTTTTTAGAAAGAAAATAACAATAAACTGTTGTACACAACAACCTCTAGTATCTCTCTAGAATCAAGAAGAATTACGTCCACTCGTTTCAAGTATGACTTGCCTTTTCGAAACGACCAATTTCAAATTGCGTATTTTCTAGCTAGGATAGTAGCAGCTGCTGCAACAGCATGCCTATGTACATTTTAAAAGCTTGAAATATCGTATATGTAATCAACCATCAACACTAGAACAACAGTAATCTATTTGACTTGTATCTCACACTTCCATAGCACTTTTCATCCAAAATCCTGGAAATCCCATGAAGATATTGTCAGTCTCTCTTGGGAGGTAAGCATCTGAAGTGCCGTGCACCAAATGAGTCCCCTTCGCCTCCTTGCACTGATACAGCACAATTCAGTCCCATTTATTCAGAAGCCACAGCAACTCAACCATACCAAAGTATTCTTACACCATTCTGGTTTCCCAGACTTCCTTGGCTAATGATTCCATTTCGACAGCCCTCTACTCACTCACACCAACTGCTGAGTATCCCAGGTGAATCACTCACTCACATGATGTTCCACCATTCATTCGCGGGAAGATTTTCAGGATTCACGGGGGAATATGTAAAAAAATAAGTGACGAGATTTCAGACACGGGAAACACCACAACTTCAAAGTGGCTTTTTTTTAAAAAAAAATAAAGAAAAAAACATTTTGCAAACCTCAGAGTGCTCTCAGACAGCACACAGCTTAAACAGCTAAGCATCCCTCTGAAATGGTTGACACAAAATAAAGAGAATCTGGTATCCACCATGGATAAAGCAAATATGTTGAGTCACAAATATACTGCAATTAAGTAAGGCACTGCTGGCTGCCTGCCAAAATTTAAAACGAAGATGACATCCAGTTAAGATGTCTCCAAAGCAACAGAGGCCATGCAGATAAGAAAACAAGTTAATCCAGGTACAAAGCAATGTAGAGAACACTAAAAACTGAAAAAACGCCAGAAGGAGGACATTTATGGATGCATTCACATTAGCCACTCAAAATTCACCATAAGGAGAAATTACTTTCATTTACCAGA